GCCACCTATCAATGGCATCGCTGTATCATCCACCGTAACGCGGAGCAATCGATAAAGAGCAATCGTATTACTCGTACGCTTTTCCGTTACTTCTAACAAGGCTTTCGTGGCTTCGGCACCGCAACCAGGGACCTAGTAAGGAGATTGGCATTAAAGCACACAGAAACCGGCTGTTTCACAAGGTGAGGGTACGAGGTGATGATGGGCCATATAAACGCCGGGGGCCTCACTTGTCTGAGCATAGCTCCTGTTAGATCGCGAATTGTGATGCCAACGGTTTTCGCACACGAGGAGGCAAACGACTCGTACGTAGTGGAGTTGCCTGGAGCAACTGGGGCCGAGGAGTTCACAACGCTGGCTTACCCTCATCGACCCACGGTTGTCGAGAAATGATGTTATGCATATCAGCGAGTAGTTTAGCAGACTGACAGACTGATGGAGTATTCACAACCTGACAGCTCAGCGCTCTTCGGGCCCCACCCAACACAGGGGGCTCTCACACCGAACCCACCAATGACTCGAGTGTGGCAGAGTGCTGTTCGCAAGGTCGCACTCGGGAGAGTCTTCGCATAGCCGTGGCTTCGCTCTACGTCTCCTTCAATGAGATAAAAGATGCGGCGTAGAGCAGTGGCTCTGAGAGGAGCATTCAACGAGACATACGCTCACACGGAGGCGTCTCAAATCACGGAGGTTATCGAATAAAGCACAGGAAGGAGACTGTTACTTTGATGCCAGGCGGTATTTCTGTTCATCATAACGCCCGTCAATAATTGAAGCACTCAGATCTTGCCACGTCTTGCGTTCGCCGCCGACTCCGAGAAGAAGCTCCTTGCCATCACTCGATCGCCGCATAAGCTGAGTCGGCGAACGCTCATAGCATTGGTTTTTGCTCTCCCTCACCCATAAGAAATCGGTTATAGGAAGGCTCCGAGCCTCAGCCCGTATCCCGAGGGCTAACAGCTCTTTAAGCAGAGCACTCTCGCGGACATCAACGAGGAAAACCGCCTCCCACGAGCCTGGCATTGCACGAGCGAGGGGTAGCGGCTCCGGAATGGTGGAGAGTTGTTGGCTGCCGGGGTAACGATATTGGGCAAGATCGCTCTCAGGCACGGGGGCTCCCGTGTAGGAAAGTCGTCGCCGCTTCCTGGTCTGGGTGGATTCACTCCCTGTTGCGCTGCACCGTATGGAGCTCAGCGCTGCTAGAGGGAACTCAACAGATGCTAATATCCGTTGGCCGAGAAGCTCGCCAGTCTGTGTGAGGGTGTATTCCTTCTCCTTAGAGCAGCCCTGAAGAAAAGGAGATGCGTTGCCCCCTGATCGAACCTTCGGAGATACCACAACAGAGAGTAAGCCCCTGTTCTCTAGAGACTTCAACGTGGCGACACTGACAGTGAGTGATGCTGGCGTCACATTTGTTCCTTGCTCGACCGACGAGAAAGAACGAGCAACGTCTTGGATTGACGAACAGCAGGCCTGAGATCGTAAAACCTCGGAAATAGGTAGGCAAGAGTTTCTACAAGAAATGATGAGAAGACAAACACTCTGCGATTGACAGGTCGAATCTCCCGTTTTTTCTCCAGCTTACACTAAGTTGCTTCCGAGTGAGCCCCTCCCGGGACTCTATTGGTAGTCTGTCGTGACACAGCTGCAGAGCGAGTAAGATACACCATTGAATGCTACCTGTAACACAATTGTTCACTCGTATACACTAACTGGCTGTGTGGTCTAGTGGTATGATTCGCGCTTCGGGTGCGCGAGGTCCCGGGTTCGATTCTCGGCTCAGCCCTATGCGCAAAACGATTTTGATTGATGTATAATCTCTCTACTCCGGCAGCAGTCCTATACTCCTGGCGACGGTCGACACCCCGACCATGCTCAGCCATAAGCGCGATAGGGTAGAACTCACCATTCGCAGGACGGTACTCCTTTTGGCGAAGCTTCGAAGTGATAGCCGGCATTTCGATGTCTTCGTGAACTGCGAATGTAGCAGTTGGTGCATTCCGTTGGAACTTCTCTGCACGGCTCCTGAGCGCAGTAGCAATATGAAATATCGTTTGCAGCTACCATTCGGAGGCCAAGAGCAGCTCCTCACTTCACCGTATCCCGCCACGTCAACGATGACCTCCTCGGAGACGTAGACGCTTCCCTTTCGGTGATCAATTGGGCGAAAACCTGCCATATGCGGAGCAAATGTCAACACACAGTTGGCGAGATCTACCTGCGCGAAGGTACTGCCGACACCGTCGAGCTGCTCAGCCTGCCAACCACTGGTGATGGGCATCGGGTATCTGGTCGCTCACTGCTCACTGGGATTTTCGAGAGCTTGTGACCAACGAGGCTGACTCATACTAACAGAGGCCTACTTCGTTATAGCTCTGATGATCTTCCCATATGATCGGACCAGATTCGTTTGCCCTCGACTCCTAGCAGTGTCACGCATATCCTGGAAGCGCAGCATGAATGCTTGGTTCTCGGGATGGCATGATAGCGTCATGTCTCTACATCTACAAACTACACTTGGATGCGTTCGCTCATCACTTAACGAGGATCTCTCTGCAAGAAGATTTCCGACCTGCCTGTTCCACGCTTATGCGTTTCTACACGCGCTATGATCTCTGCCCGCCTACTGCGTGGAGTAGCACAACATCATATCGTTATCACGTCGCTTTCATCATCACAGAATCGGTGTGTGAGAGTGTGAAGCAGTCGGGCTCAAAGCGCAACGAGCCCCGAGAAATGAACGACCACTGCTATGCTAGACAGCAAACCGGACTATCAAGGTGATTGCTCAATCCATGCAAGGAGCTAGGGGGACATTTAAATGTGGTTTCAACTCGAACACTGTTGCGCTGAAGATAAACATCAAGAAGATAGTGGCACATGGGTCCACTAGCAAGTAGTGGTGGTCCTTCACCACTGCTACATTCTGTTGGATTTTCTGTTGGAGCAACCCCGGTTGCTCGCCCTTAGGTCGAGAGCTGTTACAACGCAACGAAGTGATGCAGTGGACACCGTTGTCGATGAACACAAGCATGCGACAATGCTTCAGAGTGGCGACTCCTTCATCTCGTGTTCATCAGATTCATCGTTCCACCACGATGGTAGGGGGTCGGGATCCGTCAGACGGACTTGAGATGGAAAACTG